CTTGCTTCCCACTCAACAAGCAAGTAAGGCCAGGTGAGCTTGCTGGATAGAGGAGGAGGGACTACATGGGGCAGAGATGAACTATTCCTTCCAAGGAATAGTCTCTCCTGGACCAGCTGATCCACCAGTGAGTCATGACTGATGTGTATGATACAGCATGATGTTTAGTTTTACACGTCAAGGTAGAAGGTGTTTTGGGGTGAGCTTAACAGCTAGATTGGTGAACACTGAGTAAAGAAGACTGTCCTCCAATATAGGTAGACCTCATCTAATCAGTTGAAAGCACTTGAGAGAAACAAAAAGCACAGCCTCCCCCAGCAAGAAGGAATTCTCCAGCAGACCACCCTTAGCCTTTGCCTGCATCGTCCAGGTTCCTTGCCCCCACCTGCAGGCCTTCAGACTGCCACTGTACTCTGGGTCCTCCCAGGTCTCAGCCTGTGGGCTCACACTGCAGAGTTGTTACTGCCAATCTCCCTGGCAGAGCATATGCCTGCCTCATTCTATTGGTTCCATTTCTCTAAATAACTGTTATACACACCAATAGACACACCAATGTAGTTTACCTCTTCACTAAAAGAACTCTTTCTTTGTCCTTCTGAAGTTACCTATGTCTTCACCAGAGCAGAACCAGTCCCCTCAGAACCACTAAGTCTCCTTACCATGGGCATTTTCCCTCCTATTAGTCTTTCCCTCTGCTCTAAAATATCAAGGATTTATCTACCAGGAAGCATGAATTTCCGTCCATTCCAGCCAGATCCCTGGCAGTTACCACCCTGGAGACCCCTGACCTGAAAGAGACTAAAAACACTCACTTCTGCACGCTCCAGCACCATGCTGTCTGTTGCTCTGGGGTCTGCAGAGGAATCCCACTGCCTGTGGGCTTCCAGGCCTTGTGATTACATCCCTGCACGGTGGGGCTTTGGCTCCAGTCCTCCCCCATGTGAACTTCCCCAGGAACAAAGATCTTGGCTTCCTCAAGCGGCCTTCTTGACCTTCCCTAGCTTCCCAACAAGCACGTGCAAGGGAGCCTGAGCAAGGCAGGTGCTCCGCCTGTTGTCTAATGACTTTATTCTTTCAGAGTTAGTAATATTCCCTTTGCTCTTCCCTCCCTGTGGTGTCTGATACTTTATGACAGGGCTGCAAATCTGTATCAAAGGCAATGCCTATCAGTATCAGGACAATGCCTATCCTGTGGGGACTCAGGGCACATTGGAGAGCAAAATCTTCCTGATCTGTGCTTAGAGACCCACTGTATTGTTCCCTTTCTGCTTTGGAGGCTCAAAGTCCAAGATCAGAGTCCCGTCTGTTTAATCTCTGTGAGGCCATGGTGTAGATAGCATCACAGCTAGAGCATGTGTGAGAAAGAGGGATCACTTGGCGAGAGAGAAAACTAGAGTAGGCAGCTCAGACTCGCTCTTTAAAGCAGCCCCCTCTCACGGGAACTGAGGTCTCACAAGAACTTTAGTTCCTTCTGAGCACCCCATGGCCTGCCCACTTTCATCAGTTCAACCTTTCAGCACCTTAATTCTTGAAGAACATACTTCGACCATAGCCAAGCTGAGTGTGGTGTACATGCCTGTAATCCCAGCACCAGTGGAGCTGAGGCAGGAGGATTGCTGTGAGTTCAAGGCCAGCATGAACTACATAATGAGTTCAGAACCAAAAAAGCTAATCAGTACCAACTTTGTGCTGCGCCCTGGGTGCCCTAGTCAGTACCTTTCCCAGCAGTCATGTGAAACTTCAGTAGCTTTGATATCCAAGGAGATGACGCAGGTAACCATGGGCTATACCAACATTAGCCCACAAAGTGGTTCAGCCATTGTGCAAGACAGGATGTCAATACCTCAAAAACTGAAGCACAGAACTACTTGATGTTTCAGCAATTTTACTTCTAGGTAAATACCCCAAAGAATTAAAAAACTGGGATTTGACCAAACCAAATATCACCAGCAGGTGAATGGATAGGCAAAATATAGTACAGTGGTATCTTGGTTCATGAATTTAATTCTATCCGCAATTCTGTTCGCAAACCAAATTGGATGAGAACTGAATCAAGTTCAATGGTTAGGTTGAATGTTGACCTCATGACATAAAAAGATACCATTGTCATAAAAAGGAGTGCTATTCAGCTATGAAGAGACAACCAATTAGTATACATTATACAATATGTGTGAAGTTTGATTTTATGCTAAATGAAGCAACTGAGGCACAAAAGGACAGATATTAAATGATTCCAATTATAAGTGAGACCTAAAATATGCAAACACAGAGACCAAAGTAGAAGAATTATTATGAAGAGCTGGAGGAAGAACAAATTGGGGAGCTACTCTTTATTGAGAAAATAATTTCAGTGTGGGATATTGAAAATTTGGAGATGGATAGTGGTGGTGCACAATGAAGTGACTGTACTTGCTGAGGACCAAGCAGAACCTAGTATTTGAGAACTGGCCCCAAGGTGCCATGGGTCTGAAGAAAGAGAGGTGGAGAGATTCAGGATTGCACAGTGTGCAACTTGTTAGGGCACTTCCTGAGAGAGATGCATGAGCTTCTGCAACAGCAAGACCAAGCGAATTCTTGCAATCTGGGTCAGGAAGAGAGGCATATATATACTGGTTAGAACAAAAGTGACTTCATCTAAAACAGAATGTACCTGGTTTATCTTAAACCAATATCAGAGTCAGGCACATTCCTGGTCCCACAGTCTGGCTGTAAAACTCCACATACCATTCTAATGGTTTTGTCTATTTATAGAATTCTGGGAAACCATGAAGTGAAAACCAAGTAGGGTTACTGTGGGGCAATCATGGTGGTTACAACTCAAAATGGCTGCTGTTATGCCAAGGAAATCCATGTAGTACTTCATGCACTGGATTATTCATTCATAAAACATTAAAAAGGTAAATTTTATAGTATGTGTTTTACTATGGTACAAAGGTTAAAAAAATAATTTAGACTAAGTAGATTTTAAAAAAACCTTTTAGACTAAGTAGATTTAGTCAGAAGGGATAATGTTGACTGTGGGTATATGGGTCAACTTCTGCTAATGTTTGTCATTATCCACAACTCTTTCTGCCCTATCTTTTAAATCTGAATAAATTTGTATTATAAATGATACCATGTGTCCAGGAACACAGAGCCAAAGCTCTGGCCTCCAAGGACTACATTAGAAGGGCAGCCTCTTTCTTCAAGCACATTTTCACATAGTCTTTGGGTGAAAGATAAATCTCTTTTAGGCCTCTAGGCTTCACACACCCTGACTTTTTCTTAGCTCTGAGCACATCTTGGGGAACTCGTATTTTTCCCCACTGACATGGTGAACTTTCCATCTCTCACTGCCAAGGTTACCTCCTGCTTAGACCACATTCTCTCCTCTTCCTGCTAATTAGTATTCACATGTTCAGTGTCCAGTTCAACTGTTGCTACCATGGGCAACATTTCCTCACCTCATACCAGGTTAAACCCCCTTTTCATATGCTCCTAATATTATACTCTTCCTTGGAAGCACTTTTATATTCATTTGGGTGATCATTTGAACAAGCTTGTTTTCCCCACTGGGTGATAAACTCCAATACAAGGATCCTCTCTGTTTCTTTATTGAATACAGAATCTGTAAAGGGTGTGTGATATTTAGTAAATGCCCAGTGTCAGCTGTTACTTTAACAAAATACCTGAGATAAATAAAATTTTAAGGAGGAAAGAATTATTTTGGCTCACTGTTTTTACAGGACTGAATCCATGGTTGCTTGGTCATGTCGCCTTCAGGTTTGTGGCAAGGCAGAACAGCATGGTGGGAGCATGTGGCAAAGGATGATGCTTGGACCAAAGCAGCCAGGAAGCAAAGACAGAAAGAGGAGGGGCCGGAACCTCGATACCCTCTTCAAGGACACACTCCCAATGGCCTAACTTCCTTCCACTAGGCCCCACCTCACAAAGATTCCACTACTTGCTAATAGCATCCGGGTTGGCAATCAAGCTTTCAACATGTGGCTCCCTTAGAGACATTCAAGAGTCAAATAAAATCTCTCCTCCATCACTGTTTGCTAATGAACCCGGGAATGAAGATGTGAACAGAAAAGTGACCAAGGATACGTGACTGAAAGGTTTTCACCAGTGCGTAGGTAAAGGATGCTGTGCCCTGCTCATCTAACTTCATACTGTACTCTGTAGCACATATTAAGATTACAGGGAAACCAGAGATGTAATACATTTTAGATTGACAGCAAAAGGAGAGTGATTAGAGGTACAGGTTCATTTTACCACATTGCCTACTTTATGCTGTTTTTAAAAATTATTATTAGAGGAACAATTTGAAACTACAATGACACCTCTTTTAATTTTCTCACACTGGTAGTCATTGATCTGCATTCATATTTTAAGAGGAAATGCCACTGAATTCAGGAGAAATATACTTACCCTGCATGGTATTCAAAAATAGCTGGAAAAGCTTAGCTCCCATACCCCATGCAGGTGACCTTGCTAAATAGGTATGTTAAAAACTGAAATGTATAATTTTCTATGGGCACTTTGGTAAAAACATTCTTATTTTTCCTGTCTTCCAGCAAACCTCATTATCCTTCTTGTGACCCTCTGGGCATCTTATTTTCTTTTGACTTGATTGCAAGTTTTAAAATATTAACTGCATTATGTCCTGTCTCAAGAAGGGTTGCTCAGCTACTACTCTACAGTTTTAGAGTGCGAATTATTTTACTTCACCATTGCTACCTCGAATAAAGGGATTTAATGCATTTCATAGAAGCTAGACATAATTAAAATCCCTTATCTTTATTGTGTGGAGTCATCATTATTCTCACTTGGAAGGCCAAGGGGAATATACATGGGAGAGTATGTATTAATTTTGAATAATGTTGAAACTAAATTAGAATAAGGGCACAAGGTGTCAGTCACCATGGAATCAGGAAAAGGTACTGCTGTCTACAGGACACCAGCTGTTAAGAAATAGGAAAAAAGAAAAGTAAATAAGAGCAAGGAGGCTCAAGGAATGGGCTTTCAATTATATATTTATTATCATTTGTAAATTAGCTAGAGATGTGTAATTATGGAAAATGCAGCTGAGTGAGGTCTATGATACAGTCAAATGCTGAACAATAAAGACTTCAAGAAAATGTATTGTAACTTAAAAAATACAATATATATAGAATCTCTGGTATTGTACTTTCTTAGAAGAGATAATAAGATAATACTGCAAAGCACAACACCCTTGCTCCTGAGGTCCTTGAATTATATAAATATTATATAAATGAATGCAGTCCCCAGATTTATTTGACGATGACACTTTTTTTTGGCTTTGCAGCATGAATTTGTGAGACTAGGATATCCTGGAGCACACTCTGGAAACCCTGACTCACTAAAAAGTAGAGGCATATCCGGAATTTAAAGAATTTTACACTGAGAAATGGTATGAGGTCCCGCACCAGCAAGTTCAGTAATCCAGTGCCTCTTTATGGCAGCATCAAATACAAACAAAAATACAAACAACCATCAAATGTTCCTCACATAGTGAACAGAATGTGGTATAAAAGAGGAACTAAATACTGACACCAGTTATCACATGGGTTCATTTTACCACATTGCAACTTTGAAAACATCTTGTTAAGTGAAAGAAATTGGACACAAAAGACCTAATACTGTACGAATCCCTTTATCTGAAATGTCCAGAGTAAGTCCATAGGGACAGAAAGCAGATGATTAGTAGTTACCAGGTGATGGAGAATGGGGGCAAGGCTGATGAGTATGCAGTTCTTTTACGGATAAGATGTTAGATAGCGACCATGGTTTTATAACCTTATGAATATACCAGAAACCAATGGGTTGTGAAGTTCATTTATTTTTCTGAGACAGAGTCTTGCTATGTAGTTCAGGTTGGCCTTGAATTCATTATAGAGCTCAGGCTGGTCTTAAACTCATGGTAATCCTCCTGCCTCAGTCTCCCAAATGCCTGGATTACAGGTGTGTACTATCATGCCCAGTTTATTCACTTTAATAGGGTGAATTTCAGTATGTGAACTTATTCTAATTAAAAAAAAAAAAAAACAGGCTGAGGGTGTTGCCTTAACATGCATCAGACCCTGGGTTCAATCCTCAGCACTAAAGGAAACCAGGAGAGGAGGGCTAGAGCAAGGAAATTAATAACAATAATAAAGCAACTGGTGGTGCTGGGGATTTAGCTCAGCGGCAGAAGCATCTGCCTTGCAAGCAGGCAGTCGTTGAGTTCGATCCCCGGTACCGATAAAAACGAAAAAGACAAAAATAAATAAATAAATAAATAAATAAAAATAAATAAAAATAAAGCAACTGGTGTACCAAATAGTCACACTGTTCATAGGAACCAAAAATGTAAAGAACACAACTATTTCTTGTCAACAAGTATATTTAATGAAGATACTATGTGTTATTTACAGAAGATATACATACATACAATTCTTACACATTAAATGTAATCTGACTGTGAGGACAGAAAAAATGTACTCCAAAATTACATACTAAATAAAATAAATAAAAAGTATTTGGCACAATATCTATTATGTAGCAAATAAATAACTCTATACCATTGATTGAATGAACTATTTACAATCTATTTGAAAGTGCAAAACAATTATTGAAAATTAAGACATTTGTAATAACATTTAAATCCAGAAAATATGCTTTTTTTTTTCCATCAGTAACAATAAATTTTAGCTGAAAGGTTTTTAATGCCCAGGAAAATATTTCAATTTTGGAAAATGTTTTGTGCATATTGTGCTCTTCTGAAATGTTATTTCCTATCTTAACATTGGCAATTTTAAGAACCATGATGTTTCTTGGTGGAATTGTTATGCAGGTAATTCTGATTTGTAAATTTAAAAAGTTATACTGTAAACATAAATATTAATCTATTCACCATTCAGGAATTACAGGCCAGTCCTCCCTAACTTCCATCAATAGTCAAAATGTTTCATAGTAATGTGGGCAGGCTCTATTCTTTTAGAGGTAAGTCTATGAGGATGGAAGAATAAAACCTATAATTTGGACTTACGCAGATTCCTCAATACCTGCTCTAAACTCTGAGCTCCAAATCAAGATGTTGAGCTAAATATTATGAAACTATAGTCACCACTGACGTGTCCAAATCAATCCCATTTATAGCACATCGCGTCCTGTATACTCTTAGATAAGGGCCAGGAGCTTGGTATTTCTATCAGGCTCTTCGTGTAGGCCATACGAATACAGGACAACTGGAAATGAAATAGAGTGATCATTGATAGGGAATTACTAAGCTATAATATATAAGCTTTATGGAAGTCAAATAATTTCTTCTCTCGCCGTGTAGTTGGTGAAGCTGAAAGCGGCCCTGAGGTGTCTCAGGATGTGTCTTTGTTTCTTTCGTAGAATTCCCTAGTGGCACTACAATCAGTAGTAGCATAAATGGCATTTTTGAAACTTGATTGTGGACTGGAGACAAACCATCGCTCTGGGCACTTTAGATGTCTATGGCCGACGAGGCTCTAATCTGTGTGACATCTGTGATAAAGTTCTCTGGTTGTCAATCACATTTAATTGCCGTACATAACTCCGGACATCCTGATGGTTCTTATTAGCTTGTGCTGCATCAGGACCTGGAGAAGAAAAAGGGCAGAATTGGCACTGCATTACATATGCATATAAGATCCAGCTTTATCTTCCCTGGTGACTTATTACATTTATCAGATTCCCGAGTTCTGTCAAGACCTTTCGACACAACACGTTCATTGAAATACTTCCACGTGGCTATTCTGTCTCCTTCTTTCTCCCCTTCACTTTTCTTTTCCTTCACGGAATCATCTCTTTTGATCATTTTCCTTTGCATTGCACATTGTAGGGAGGGGGAAGGATACCAAATAAAAAGGGAAGCATCTGCCTGATGGCCCCTGACGACAGAGGGAAATTGTTTCCCTACATCAGCCCACCTCTATCTCCCACATTCTGTGTCTTCACCTCCTTTGATCCATAGGAGGACTGAAAAGACATAATTTCAGTGGCAACTCACAGAAACACTTAACACGTGGACCAAACTGAAGCAAAACAGGGAGACACTGAGGTCCTGACTGCCCCCTTGACTTGGGTACAGTGTGCAGGGTTACCACACAGGCTGTGTGCTCTTAGAGACCCTCCAGATTCTAGAAAAGCCCAACTTGGGGGCCGAGCTTATGACTTCACTAGACCTCTGATGTCCTCATGCTACCTGTTCTGAAAACCCAGTGATCATTCCATCTGACACTATTACAACTTATGCTGCAAGAAGATCCAATGCTGATGGCCCTCCATGGACACTACCCCAGGATAAGGAAGGCCACATTTGGTAGCGGTGAACTAGACACAGCTCCCTGGGGAAGTGACTGCTTGACTTCTGATGCTTCTGCATGTAGGAATCTGTGTCCAAACTTGCCAGCTATTCCTTTTCTTTTTCCCTCTTTTTCTTTTTCTATCCCTCATTTCCTTTCTTCCTTTGTTCTTCCCTTTCTTTTGAGAATTAAGAAATCTAAATGTCTTTCCTGTGAATTCTCTCAATGGTTACATTTCAAAATAAAAAGGGAAAATGCTCTGTTTAGAGCCAACATCTCGTTCTCTGTGGCCATCTGTTCCATGGACCACTGTGTGTGGGGCCACTGGTCCAGTCAGACAGCAGAAGTGGCCATGCTGCAGCCTGAACTCCTGACCAGCATTCTCCCTGCCATTATGGTACAGCACTTTCTGAGGTTCAGTTGCTCCTGTTCCATCATCCACCCACCACTCGCTGAGACATTCAGAATGCCATCTGCATAGGGGTGAAGGGGAGCAGTGCAGGTCTGCACACAGAAATGCAGAAAAGATACAAAGGCCCCCACTTTCTGCAAGAAGAAACTCATCAGTATAATTATCACATATAAATAATACCACAGTGAACTGCAGAACACATTGTGCTTTATTTCCTCTGCTTTTTGCTGGCAGTGTACTCTCCATGTACAATATACTGTAATTACATTGTACATATCCCCACAATGTTTATGAATCTATTCCTATAGCTTTATCTATAGATCGTTGACTTCAGAGCTGAACAGCTGCTGTTTACCAGAAGTTACTGATAACTTCAACAAGCACAGTGGAGATAAAAAAAAAAAAACAAAAAACCCTCCCCACAAAGAGAAGGCATAGAAGAATATAGAATGTACTTCCAAAGAGGTTTGTAGAACAAAGTAGATTCTGTAATAGTTCTTCATTTCTTGAATATCCATGAATCCCCTCTTACTGCCAGGAACCCTCTCAGATACACAATATTTTGGATATAATTTCAGGAATTTCTGGATCGCCCTGCAGGCCATGGATCTAGACTACAAACTCCTGTTGTAACTGGTGATGCTTATCTATTCTTGTATCATTTGTACAGTTACCTTATGACCATTTCTTTAACCTACAGTAAATTACTATAGGAAAAGATAACAAGAATGACATTAACCAAAAATTTAATTCTGATGGAATCCATGAAGGAAATCGTTGATGATACCTAAGACTATTCTTAGTTTGGCCAAGAAGGCATAATCACTTAACTTTTTAAAGATCTACCTGCTCCCTAAGTCAAGATTACTTTCCAAGATTTTTCCCTCAGTACATTAAAAAAAAGAACATTTGGTAGTTACGGCATTTCATGTCAGCAAACTCTGGACGTGGCCCGTCCTGCACTACAAAGAGCAAACCATTCTGCTTAAGAAAACAAGACCATTTTAGTTTCTTGGCATTGGGTCTATGGGAGGGGATGATACTAGCAGGCACACAGTCATGATCATGTCATTTTGTCATGTAGTTGTGAGCCAGACTTCTTCAGGTAATTCACAGAATGACATTAACCAAAAATTTCCCAGTGCCCACCTCCTTATTCCCAAACCAGGCTGTGGAAGCCAAAGCCCAGCTCCAGGCAGAGAGGGTAGCACTGCTGCGGCATGATCATCTAGTGATAAGATGCAACTTAACCTCTGACACATTAAAGCTGTTCATTATTAGTTGTAATATTTTTTTTACATATTAAAGCATTGTAATAGTTCTTATGATGTGTGCTTAAATTTTTAAGAGCATCTCAGATTTCCTGAGAATATTAGAAATATAATAAAAAGTCCTGCTACGGGGCTTTTTACGAATGTGTTATAAACATTAATGCATTCTCACAGCACCCCGACACACTATTATCTTTCCTGCGACAGAACTGAGTCACGGATGGTTGACGAGTTTCTCTACATCAAGCAATGAGTCACACGGAGAGCTGGCTGGAGGTGGGGCTTAGCTGTCGTGCTCTACTCGTCTCTGGCCACAGTGGGAAGAGTAAATTAATTCTGGAATTCATTGATAAAATAATATTCCTATGAATCCTTTCTAATTTTTAAGAATGTAAACATTTTCCAGTTTCACAACAGCAAAACAAAGTCCTTAAATTCGAGGCCCCTAGTACATGGAATTTAGGGCCCGAAGTGCCTCTGACCAGATCAAATACTGTGCTGACTCCTAGAGTGTCTCAGTGGTCTCATTAAAAAGGACTTAATCACTAAGAAATCCACTGCAGGACGCAGCAGCAGTGAACTTACTGAACGGCTGACTCCGGTAGTATCTCACGGTTCTGGCGGTATTTGCAATCATTCGCTAAAAGGGATAAAAAAAGAAAAGAGACAGAAATGCAAGTCAGCTTGGTGTATAATCCAGGAAGGGAAACAAACCATTACTTATTCCAGCTATACTTGGTTGCACAAGAAACAGCATGTTCTGAGATGTCAACCATCTGAAGGCACCTAGTTGATATATAACGTGTTTAAAGACTTCAAAGAGGCATTCGCATTCAACAGTACAAGGCATTTTCAGGTAAGGAACAACGGAACAGCAGAACTGTAGTCTCATTTGCTTGATCCCTATGATGTAAAAAGCATTGTTGAAATTGTACTTTAATTCTCAGAAATCGTTTTCACCATCCTTCTTGAGGTCAGTGTGAATTTGTAACTATTGTAGATTTGAAGAAGGATTAGAGCTAGTCAGGTCCCTCGTGGTAAATAGGACCCTCTAATGAGGTATGAGATTATGCTGACCAAATGGTGAATTCCTGTGAATTTTTCTACGCACTATGCATTACTATCTTTTCCGATCTTCCAGGAAATGTATGGTTTAATGTTAACTGTAATTGTTTTCCTTTCTTCTTTCTTTCCTTTTACTTCCTTTCCAATTATAACAAAAATGTAGGCACATTTTAGAAAATTAGAAAATATTGGGAACAAAATAAAAACCACCTAGAATGTTGCTTTACAGACTATTAATTCATTCCTATTTTGATACATTTTTCTGATATTTAAAAATGAATACATAAAACCACACTACAAAAAATTGAGTCACATTGTATAGACATATTTATTTTGGTTTAAATATTTCACTTTGTATTGTGATTATCTGCTATATCACTTACATTTTAAAACATTTAAAAAATGAGTGTGTGTTTCATGAATTGAACCTATTAGCACTTGTTTGATCTTTGTTAATTTTGTCATGAGGTAAACTGAATTTTTTGGTAAAGTTTTGGTAGGAATTTAGAAAGGAACATGTTATGCTGAATGAAGAGGAGGAGGAGGAGGAGGAGGAGCAGAAACCCATAATCCCTGAGGAAGAACTGCTCCAGGGTTTTTCACAATAGTGGCGATCCCTCACCCAGGGCCCAGCCCTTGTGCATGTTTCAGGGCCCTTTTGCTGCTCTGACTCTAAGGGGAATTCTACTGAGACAGTGGATTAATCGTAATGTTAGCAGGAAAATTAACAAAGCTTCCCCAAGAGGAAGAGATGCCCCAGTTTCTGAAGGGCTCCATGATGCTAGTTCTCACTTCCTTCTGTCTGAGGCCTTTGGTTTACTACAGTATAAGAAAATTACTTCGAGGAAAGCTTATACAATGCAAAAAAAATTCATAGAAGAGTCAAGGCCTTACAAACGTTTCAACGTGAGCATCATAATGCCTTGCTGAATACCACTGTTTTGAGGACTCTGGCAAGCACTAAATGACATGTGTCTGTGTTGGATGATTTCTCACACACAAAGAGGCAATCGGAAAAGTTTGAATTTCACTTTCATAAAGGATCCTAAAAACCAGTCTGTCTGTTGATCAGCATGAGAAATACATTACAAATACCTTCAAGAAAATGTAACATACAATGTATAATTAGCCTCTGATATATGGAGCCCTGAAATAAACAGTAACTATGATAATTTTCCTGCTAATTTACTTTAAGTTGTTTTTTCACTTCTCTAAAGGCTTTGCATCCGAAGGGCACAAGTATATTCCATGTAGAATTATTGTAATTCTTCAGATATTGAATGGAGTGTAATTACCGAGAACCCTGGGAAATGCTGCCAGTATGCCCCTCTGAAGAATAATAAAACAATTAGCAGGGGTCAGAAACCTCTTCCTATACCATTTTGTAGGGAGTAATTGTTCTGCTTTTTAGTTTTGAAAGCTAAAACATTTCATTCTGACTTCGGTTTTATACCACTCTTTACAGCTATACTCTGAGGCTTCATAATTTTTAGCTCATTATGTAGTTTAAAATGTGAGAACAATTGTTTAAATCAGTAATTTCCAGTTCTGAAGTTCATTCTACCTTTCTAAATCTTTGATTAATTTTAACAATGCTTTTAATTTTGACATATCCTTTTTAATTGTAGTCGAAGATAACTTCAGTCTAACTTCCAAATCCAAGTTGGGCTTTAAAATGGGGTCCATTCTTTTCCTTTGTGAGGTTCAGACAATAGTGTTTAATGGTACAAACCACACTAGCAATATGTGAACCCCACTTGCATTGCTGGTCACTGCATGGTTACAGAATGCTTTCAGGGGGACCAAAGAGGGTTAACCTGATATTTTAACTCAACCCTTCTTTGCACCCACGACATGGGTATATTCAACTTGCTACTGAGACTTCAGAAGCCATTTCCTTGGACCACCTCCAGAGTATGTAATACCTTCTACAGCCTTCCTAAAAACTGGCTCCCCAGGTGTGCTGGTTGCACACCTATAATCTGAGGTACCTTGGAGGCCAAGGCAAGAAGATACCAAATTCAAGGCCATTCTAGGCAACTCAGTGAGATTGTATCTCAAAATAAAATAATAAAGGGCTAGAGATACAGCTTAGTGGGAGAACTTTCTGCCTACCTCGTGCAAGGCCAAGGCTGGGTTCAGTGGTAGAGCGTCTGCCTAACATGGAAACAACACCAAAATCGGCTTCTCACTGTTGGAATGTGTGGAACATGTTACCTCCAAGAACAGCCCTGTTCATTCATAGACATGTTAAAAAATTCTTCGTGATTGTGAGTGAAAGTCTTTCTTCCCCTACATTGTTCCTAGTTCTGAGCTCTGGAGACCGTGACAGGCTGGTTCTTCAAATACTTAAAGATGACTATTATGAACATCACACGCCAGCTCTTTTCTTGTTCAGCCTAACTATCCCCAATTTCTCCACTGACTCTTCCTAAAACAGGGTCTCTTCTGGTCAGTCCATAGTGTGATGCTATAGTTGAACAAATCTCGGGATGCAAGGAAATTATCTTCCTATCTTCCTTCTCTGACCTAGCAGATGTTATATATTCAAAGGTTATACATTAAAAAATTTTTGTTTTGGTTACTGGTATCTGTTGACCTAACAATGAATTAACTTCTTAGCCTGCTCCATCTCCATCGAGTTGGTATATGGATCCACCTTCTGCTCTGTCAATGTGCAGTTGATTATTCCATAGACCAAAGCAGAGGATTTTATGTTTATTACCTCTGAAATCTACTTAGACTCTGTCTCTCCACAGATTTAAGCCCCACCTGGGGCTTTGATGGAAGACAGGTGTTTATTCACTGGATTTTCCAGCAAGGTTGGCCGAAACTAAGGTTAGTGAGACACAGGTTTCATTATCCAACTGCCACACCAGGGCTGGAGCCAGAAGTTACGCCCTAACCTTGGAGGTCCTGCCAGAGCAGGTCGGCCTGCCTGGAGCCAGCCAGGCAACTCCATCATGCCAGGCCAGGGCAGAAATACCTGCCTGCTCCAAAGCACAGCTTCTTTTTTTTTTTTTTTTAATCCTAGCACACCTGAAGTTTATGACGCACTCATTAACAACTGGCCTTTGCAACACGATAGGTAATTTGGGGCAAATGGGAGGAGAACATGCTCCTTGAGGAATGCTGTGAGTCAGTGTAGTGGACAAACTGCAGTCCCCTCTTAAATGATTTTTCCTGGGCCTAATTCTGAGTACAGGTCTTCAGAGCTTGTTTGCAAAAATTAATGTATTCCTGCAGCTCCTGACCTACAGCACCCAGACAACCTATAAGGATGTCCTGGTGTTTGGGAGCCCAGAAAGGAAGCACAGTGAAGTCTTGGGGCACTGCCACTGCACTCCTGTATCTTTTTTTTTTTTCTTTGTCTTTTGAGACAGGGTCTCAATATGCAGTTCAGGCTGGCCTTGAGCTCACTTTGTAGCCCAAAACTCACAACAGTCGTCCTGCCTCAGCCTCTCAAGTGCTGGGAATACAGGCCTGTGCCACCACACTCGGCTTGTAATTCCTCCTTACAGTGGAAGACAGAGTGACTTACAAGCAGCTATCCCTCCTGGCGCCCGAGGTAACGAGTGACCAAGACACATCCAGGGCAGAAGAGAACAGGCACTGCCTGCATCCAGGGCTGAGGCTGCAGCCCTAGTACAACCGTCCCTCTGGCACTGATGCAGGTAATTCTCTGGGACCCACTGACGAGTCTGGGTACCTGGTTCTGCAGCTGTGCCTTCCTGTGGCACCGTCCTCAGAGCAGGCTGGTCAGGACAGCCTTACTCTTATCTAGACATGTTGTTAACCCACCAGGCGTGATGGTCCCCAGCTGTCCTGGCCAGCGCCATGCTGATTCTTGTGCCCAGTTCAAGCACCCCTGATTCCCTGAGGCAGGCAAAGTGATGGCTTGTGGGTCTGGTTTTCAAGTTCAGATCAGCAGCGACCCACCCGCCTATGGCATCTTAACACTGTTATACACGGCTGGCACAGCTCCCTTGGGGCTTAGCTATTCTGCCTCTTTACAACAGTGTGCTAAAGAGCTGCACCTTGACTTTTGTCCTCTTCTGACTGCCTGACCTGCCTTGAATGGTTTTTGTCTTTCCCTCTGCTGTTCTCTATTTATTTCCCCGTTTATTTCCAGGGATGGAACCCAGGGTGCTCTGCTCCTGTGCTGTATTCTCAGCCCCTTTTTTTTCTTTTCATTTTGAGAAATGGTCTACAAATGTAGTTGGTCTTGAACTTGGGATCCTTCTGCTTCAGCCTCCTAAGGAGCTGCAGTTACAAGTGTATGGCACTGACCATTCTTGTTCTTAATGTTTGCCAGATTGCCTTCTCTTTTCCTGTATTTCAACTACTGAGCTGCCTCTTTCCCCATCTCTACGCCTATCAAAGAGCTCTGTCAAGTATTCTTTGCTTAATATAAAGCCCCACCAACAACTTCTGATTATTTCACTCCAACTTTCACATAGTCAAGATAAAAACTAGTTCCACAAGACACAGAAATATATAGTCTGTCTTCTACAAAGATTGTGCCCATGATACAATCAAACAGAAGTACCTGGTAGGGATCAGAGACAAAAAAGACCTGGGAGCCGAATGTGCTTTCAATGTACCTGTGGTTGAGGAAGGAGCTGGATCCTGGCCCTGGCTAGAGATCAGTGGTACACGGCACAGAGACACGCATGTGTCACATAGGCACATGCTCCCATGCCTGTACGTTTGGTAGCCACAGGACATGGTGAATCACATGCCTGAGCAGGCATGTGTGAATACATGAGCCTCTCTAAACTCAGAGAAAGATGCTAAACAACAGACCCAGCAGCACAGGGAATGAGACAGAATAATGGCCAGTTAGGAACAGAAGACTAAGGGACAGTCACCTCATGCCATCCCAGTTTTGCAAAATACTGTAGGAGATCCTGGTTAATCAAAACAGGAAATGCTTTTGGATTCAAGTTTTATTAAACAACACTTTAAAAATGCTTTTGTGCACTGTTCTTAAATACAAGAATGGGGTATAACTGGGTTTTTCTTTTATTCAACAAATATTTCTTGCATATTTATAATGCATGTTCACCTGTGCTAGAGAAAAATCAGCTGGATGCAAGAGATAAGATATCTGGTACGGACACTGATGTTTTAGTAGGGACAATGGGAAGGCAAGCAAGGAGATCATCTTGTTTTGTGAGAACAGCTATCAAGGCGAGGTTATCTGTCAGAAAATGCTGGGTGTGGGCAGACGATGCTGGAAGGGTAGTCAGGGCAGATCACCAGGGGGAGGGAAGAATACACGAGCTGAGAACTGAACCACAAGAAGGAGCCAGGTAAGTTAAACTGGGATAATAAAATCTTAGGTAAAGGTAACTGCTAGTGCAAAAGCCCTGAGGCTGGAAGGAAAAGAAAGATCGCCACTTTTGCCAACATAAACTAATAGAAGCGTTAAGTATGAGATGAGGCTGTACAGGTGCATATAGCAACAAGTCTAGATTTTTTCAACATGCCTAGATTTTATTATGTACATAGCCTGGTTTTATCTTCTATTAATACACCTGCAAGAAGTTCTCTTTCCTGGATCTTGCCTGTTGATGTGTCTTGCAATACTCCCATGACCTAGTTTTACAAACTTTGTTGAATTGTTTTGATTTTTAATATCACATGTGTTTATCTTTTCAACTGAATGTAATCTCCTAAAGAAAAAGAATTACTTTCTAGATATCTTTATATTCTCTAATAAAATCCTTTGCCTGGGCTCTCATGTTGAATTGTTTTGAAGTGCATCCTTGGAAATCTGCATTTAGCTTTGTCTGGAAAAGGTCCATAAAGATGTAAACTCTCCAAGTACTGTACTCTCTGTATTTACTTCACATTGGAGAGGGCTGGAAAGTGGGTGGCTTAGAACATTTGTATTTTTACGTAGAAACTCTTTTTTTTGCTATAGTTTAAGGCAGTGCTCTTCCAGAAATCTTGTAATAAGATTACTGGTGACAAAAAACATGTTATTGCTAATTATGTAACTGTATGCCTTGTGATACAAAAATAAAGAGAATTCAAAACATTTATCTTCCTCAATGAATAAGCTTCTGTTAAGGATTCCAGAAGTCTAGAAGTTGTGCGATATTTCTCATTCCCGACAAAATGACTACTCCAAAAATCATATTCACAAATAAATATACCTACATAGGCAGATGTCTGAAATAGAAGAAGCCTCCTAAGACCATAGCAACTGTGCCTATCAGCATGCTTTATGCAGCCCGGGAGAGTGGCAGCCGGCCAGTGTATTATCCTCTAATCCATTGCTCGTCTACCTTCTAAGTGTTATAAATATTCATATATGCCATGGAAAGCTATGAAGGGCTTTATTCAAACATTTTTTTGAATACTCCTTTATGTTCCCCCCAAATGAAAGAATGTCTGCCTTTTTTTTTTTTTTTGCATAAGGAACAGAGTGTGAATTCTCTTTTGTTCATACCCATAAATCCTGAAAACCAATATGCAACAAATTCTCTAATCCTCATTTCATACCTCAAGGGTGGAGATGCTCAAAATAAAAATACTTAGGGTTGGCATGGCCGTTTTCCGTGACTGTGCAGTGGTGTCACCGAGAAAAAGATTCAGAGTTCCTGGCTGCCCTGCAGGCCCTCCCTCTGCGGACACAGCCTCCCAGCCTCAGACACAGCCTGGCTGATGGACAGCTAAGGACATGGACATCAACCTGGAAAGGAAGTGTTTTTCCTTAGGATACCAGGAGGAATAGCAGCTGCTGGAGGCAGTGGTGGTGATAAGGGGGAGGGCTCACAAGTTTGTGGGGAGAAGATGATGGGAGGCTTGCATAGGGCCAGACTGAGCAAAGCTGGGTTTAGAACACATAATTAAATCTCTTTGAGATTCCGTTTCATTTTCTAATAACATCTGACTCATGGGAGAGCATATCTGAAACCAAACTTTCTCATGATATGACATCAAATGAAATAAAATATATATAGTTGTGGAAGCAGAGGAATCAAGTACTCTTTCAATTTCCCTTCTCCCCTCCTCTTCCTGGAGAACTTCTTCCTTTTTAATGGTGTCCATGGTAGCCAGTCGAAGACTACATTTTCCGGTCTTCCTTTCATTTCTGGCCAATACATGTGAGGCCAGGGGTAAGTGCAACTTGTTCTTTATTCTTAGTGGAAGAAGCACACCTTTGTTCTCTCTTTTCCACTTCCTGCAGCTGGGAGGGGGACAAGGTGATGTGCCGTCATGGACCAAGTGACATGGCAAGAGAGAAGTCTGGACCTGTGATCACTTTTTGGGACCAAGATCCCAAGTCCACTTAGATTTCTAAGTGAGAATTAAACTTTTCTTGCTCGACTCATTATTAATGTGCAATTCCATTGTTGTAGCTGAAATGGTACCTAGCTATTCAGTTTCTGTGAAGCAAAAGTGGATACTTTGAGAGCAGGTGTAAAGAGCCTCTTTGCTCTCTGCTGGGCACAAAGGAACGGACTGCTGTGGACATAAAACACAGAAATGGGGAGGGTACACTCCTGGCATCCACCGAATGCCATCTTGACTTTTTCTTTGCAGGTTACAGATGGAGCCCCTAGGTCTAAAAACCCAGATGAACACCTGTTAGCCTCCCTGACAGATGGCTGCTTTGGTGTTCTTTACTGTTCGTGTTTGCTGTTAACTTTAGGAATCAAAGTTCTAAAGTCCAGTCTATCTAGGAAACCCTGACATTTACACTTCTGTGCACGTGTTCATTTTACCGTTCAGTGTTGGCTCAGCCACACTTCAGTCTGCTTTTCGGGATAAGTGACTCAGAAGGTACTTGACTCATCTGTTAAGCCTTTCATTTTGGTAACATAGAATTTGCTTTTGAGACTGTGCAGAAATTATTTAATCCTCCATACTAATAAGTGAGCAAGGAATTTTTTTTTACTTTGATCAAAAAAAATCATTTGAAATGACACAGTGATGGAGATATTCCCATCATGCCTTTGGAGTGGGAGATGAGGAGGCAAAGTGCTGAAGAGCTACCTGCCCTCTGATACGGAGGGTTTTTGAGAAACGTGTACTCAAACTATTTTCTAAGAGGCTGGAGACAGGAACCTAGTGTCAAGCAAAAGCTGCACTTCCTCACCAGGCTGGGCTTGGGCAGGGTGTTTCAAATTCTCCTGGAGTCACATATCCTACCTCGATTTCAAGAAACAACAGGAATTACAGTTTTCCAGTAAGGGTTCACTGCAGGCCATGTATTGTGGAGCTACCATTAACACAGAGTTGGAGGAGGCACGATCCTTTTTCTGTTGGGGACCCTGACCCACAGAGACGCTAAAGGACAACTAGAAAGTGATGACTGAACTTCCTGTATTCCAAGCTCTAAGTCCCATGCACTTTCCAAAGTTCCATCTTCACATTGTAAATCATAATCTTGGGCAGGTGCTCACCCATGTGGAGATAAAATGCTATACCACTCTACCCACCCAGACTGCAGCCAGAGATTCACAGACAATGGAGCATTCCACTCACATGCACTATGCAGGTAAAAAAAGATTGTGGCATGATCTGCTTTATTGCTTCATGGAAGAAATGAACTGCCAAGTAACCATGCCAAATTATACTTTGTTTTGCTGGCCAGGATGAAGAAGAGTTGTTAGACAATATTTAATATATATTGAATATTAATGTTTCAGTTCTATATTTGTTATTTAACTTTTGTTATTCAAGTTTCCTCTCTGAACCCAGGTGAACTTTACTGGGATAAGCAATACACATTTAGATTAATGCTTCATACTCAATGTGTGTTATAGAGTTGCCTTTTACCTACATGCACTAAACTCAGGTTCAGCAGATAAACACTTCAAAGGCATCCTGGGGAAGTCTGGTTCCACAAACCTTACAACAAAACAACAACACAGAAGTCACTCTGGAACATTTGTGCGTTTTAGCAACAGGCAGCCAAGGATGGAAATACACAACACAAAAGCTAGCTGCTGCTGTGAACCACAGCACAAATACTATTCAGTTTCACAAAAGAGAACTGACAGAATAAAATAGGTAGCCAATTTGAACCAAAGAGTTCACAACTCCTTTATGCGCGTAACTACCTTTTTAACATGGCAGCATATCTGGAAATTATTTCCTTTATTAGTACGAATGCAAATTTTATTTTAAAAAAACATTGTGGTTAATGTTATAATACTGCACGTACCATTTTTTCAAAGTTTACTAGATTGTCAATGAACGTCTTGTTCCCCTCATGAGTAAATGTCATATCTGTAAAGAAATAAAAGCCACATTCTAATCACTAACCGAAATATGTCATACTAGGAAAGCACAATAGCACCATTAGATTATGCAGGTGGATTTGCATAACATTGCAGCTGAAAAAGCTGATAATAGTTCCTTTTATATAAGGTGTTTAACTTTCTAAATCACTTTACCTGAGATTAGTAAAATTTCTAAATTTACTGTTTCATTAACAAGGCTTCTAGATCATGAATCCTTGCTCTTCTGATCATCTTCCAACCCTCTAAAAAAGTCAGGGCTGAGAGGAGGTGACAGAGGTGAAGGGGTGGGATGTGTTTCCCAAAGAAATCTGATGGGGTATTGTTTATCTTTCTCCCTCAAATACGGGCGCATACGTGCACATGCCCGGCCCACGTGTTCTTCTCTTTACCTTTGATGAGCAAAGGCATGAAGGGGATGAGAGGAGGCTCCAGCTTGGCTGCTGTCAGCCTGTAGGCCCTGTGGTTTCTCGAAGGATCCTTAAGAGAGACAGAGAGATAGATGTTGGTCAGTGACAGGTGACTCGCATGACACCCCTTTTATCCCCAGACACACCCAGCCTGACATCCCACCATCCTGTAGTTTTGAGCTGAAGGTAACTACAAAAGGAAGAGAGGGGCTGGGGATTTAGCTCAGCAGCATAAGCGCCTGCCTTGCAAGCAGGCAGTCGTGAGTTCGATCCCTGGTACCGATAAAAAACGAAAAAGACAAAAAAAAATAAAAAATTTAAAAAAAGGAAGAGAGACATCATGAAACAAATTCACTTGTGTGTTTTTTTTTTTTTTTTTTAAAAGTCTTTCCATTTTGCCTTCCATTTTCATTCTGGTTGGAAAGGGAGATTTGCCTTTGGGCCAAAGGGAAAGAGCCCTTTGAAAGCAGGTATGAAACATGTGAAAGCACCCCCAGCAGACCCCCTCCCTCAAGCCTCTGTCTGGGAAGCTGACTCACCCTACCCTGCACAGCTGGTCCTGACTTGCTTGCTCCCCAAAGCCGCCCCATCACTCTAACACCTCCCAGGCAATGGGGAAAAGGAATTTTAGGAAGCTACGGAAAATGCAGCTTCCAACACAGCCACCTGGCTAGATAACAAGGACCCTATTACACTGCTTTTCTTAGTTACACAAATTGACCTTATGCGGGACATAAGTCCTCTTTAAGTTAGTTCCTGAGGGTGCCATTCATTAGTCAGACATGCTTGTTTTAGCAGCACTAAAAGGGATCATAAACTTCTTAAAGTCATACAAGGACAGATAAAATTTCCGAAATGAGAATTTCAATTCAGCTCATCAGAAATTGGATTAATGCAGACAGTGAACAGAATAAAGGAGCCACTGTCACTTACCATTAAACTTTCAAACTCTGCATAGAACTTCTTGAACTTGCTCGGCAGTTTCTGTTAATGAAATGAAAATGCCACACGCATATGTCAGATTCAATATCTGGATATGTATCAGGTGTTACCATTGCTAGGGGAAATGTATTTCTTTTGGCTCTAAATCAAACATTGTTGGAGACAGGCTGGACTGTAATTTCTCCCATCATGTGAGGGTGAGGTGTTGGGCTGTAGAGAGCTTGTCTTTAGAAGTCTTAACTTACTTGAACCAAAAATAACTACAAATGCCTTCAGTCTTAGTGCTTTTATAATATTTTCTGAACTGGATGATTTTTAAAGAAGGCTGTTCCTCCAAATATAAGTGGTCTGGACCCTGCACCCTCTTTTTAACTCTCCAATTGTTACAATTAGAAATTTAGATTGTGTAATTAGGATAAGAGAGTTTTAAAAACAACCACAACCCCGTTTCTCATAAAGTTGCATGAGAAGAGGGATTTTATTAGTTTTGTTTACTGCTATTTCCCCAGTGCCTGAAAGAGTGCTTGGATATAGTATAGGTACTCAATAAATACTCATTTGAATACATTATACTTGTGTTTTACAGATGGAAGAAATGAAGTTTTACGATTTAAATGACAGGTCCAAAGTCATATAGCTCTCATCAGAGCCTCTGTGGTGCCCGTTACCTGGCTCATTTTTTACTACTTCTATCCATGTGCTATGCTTTTCCACACGAGCATTTCCCACGTGATTTTTCTCCCCTGCGATCACAGACTTCAGAGGTGCCATCAGTGTGCCCATCTGCCCATCTCTGAGCTGGCACAGGCCTCCACGCCGCTCACCGCACCTGCAACTCTACTCCAATCTCAGTGAGCGCACTGCTTCCCACTTTGCTTAGTTCTGAGTTTTTTATAAAGTTGAAATCCTGACCGCTGCAGGGCCAAATCAAGATGGGACAGCAAGCCGTGCTTCCCACCCCCAAGACCATGGAAATGTTGTACAAGTCCTGATAGCCAAAGATCCCCAGATCAGCTCTGTTCTGCTCAGTGATGTGTACCCCACACATGACTCACCAGTTAGGCCTGGGCCCCTGCAATTCCCCTATAAACTCCTTTTGCCTGTTTCTCTCCATGTCTGAACCAGTCCGTCATGTTCTCACTTAAGAATCTATGAAAATCTTATTTGGTTTCTAGAAACTGTCTCCCGTACAGCCCCCAAGCTCATCTCCCCGCGCCTCTTCTCCAGTTAGGCCTCAGAGAAACCAGGCGTCCTTCCTCAGAGGGTCCTTCAGAGAGCTGGCGATGGCAGGGGGCTTCGAGAGATGCACAGACCTCACCTGGAACAGCCACGTCACCACATCAGGTGGTAGCTTTCCACAGACACAGTCTACTCTTAAAATTAGAGCACTGTTGTTAGAGGGAGATGTCTGTGAGCATAGTCCAGCATCAGTTGGTCTCCTGTCACCCGTTCTTTCACTTGGCTGTTTCACAGGTCCAAGGCAATTGGACACATGCTAACAAGGAATGTGCTTCTTAATATTATGATCCATCCTCACTCCTGCTTCAAGAACAGTGCCTCAACAGTGGCCATTCTGCCAACCCAAGAGACACTGAGGAGTGCTGCAGGTCTTTGAGTTGTGACAGCTGGAGTGGGATATGGCAAGATGAGCTACCGATATAGTGAGAGGGGTGAGAGAAGCTACTAAGTGTCCAGCAACATGCAGAACAACCCTCCACAACAAGGTCTGTCCTCCCACATGTCACCAGAGCCGAGGCTGAGGCTGCTCCAGACTATACTCCCATTGGCTGCTCCTCAGAGCTTAACCTCTCTTTTTCCATGTGGCTTAGCTGGACTTTTGGTTCCTATTTTTTGACTGTCTCACACATGTTCTACAAGTCCTTGAAGTCACGGCCACTCCACACACTGCACATGTGGCCGCCATGCCACTCACTGGAGTTGCACATGAAGCCTTTGGGGGGTTCTCAACACACACAGGGAGAGAAACCCAAATCAAAAATGCTCACGCATGAAAGCTCTCCCTGCAGGATCACATAATTACATTTTGCCTTAAAAAATAAAGGTTCCAAATGATGAAAGGCTAATCTTCTCTTGTCAGCCACATACAATGAAGAACACAGAAGCTCACAGACTCAGTACTCACATCCCCAGTGAAACTCAAGGGCCAGCCAATTAGCAATCACTTTTTGCTGACTGCAAAGTCACCAATTAACTCTGTCTCTTGCTGCCTGCCCTGTCCCAGGCAGACTCCTGTTTTTCCCTTAGTGCAGGGGAAGGGACTTGCACAATGTTTCCCATGTACTATGGTCTCATTATTCTGGCTGCCGCTATAAGAGACCTACACCTGGCTTCCCTGGATCCACACATTTTCCCCAATCAACTCATTTGGACTCGGGGGTGGGGGGAGAAGGGGCCTTAGACACGAGAAGAAGGTCAAGAGAAAGCAGCCCATCGGAGGGGAAATCTGAAGTCTCCAGAGATTCCAGAACCTTGGGCTATAAGACAGGGGCTTCTGTGCCTAGACTTATTGGCAGTGCTAACTCTGTCCTTTTGCTCCTGGAAGACGATACAGCTGCGTGGCACACAGGCCTCACCAGCTCCCTCATCCCTATATTCAGGGGATGAGCTGCTGTGTGCTGCATCTGCCTGGAATTTTAAGAGAAACCCAAGACAGAAGGACTTGTGAGGACCTGCCCTATAAACAATGGAAACGTTTAGGAGGGACAAAAAGAAAATAGTTCCAGGAGGGAAGCACAGAGGAGAATCATTTCAAGGGAAACATTAGAGATGCAAACAGCTGCCTGTACACATTGGTGCAAATTGAGTCTGCATTGTGTATTCCTTGCCCTCTTTTCTACGCCCCACAGACTTTTTTATTTTTAGTAAGAGTCTATTTTTATGTGTATGTTCTATTACAGACGAGTATTTCTTCAACTATATGCCACATGTAAGAGGTCAGGCACATTTTGAGTTCTAAGCTAATGCTAAATGGAGATGTTTTCTAGTTTGAATAATCTGCTATCAACAAACCACTTATCTTACAGAAATTCTCAACACACCTGCACAACTTTTGCCTCAAACAGAATCCTAGCCAACTGTTGTTCCTCTGCAGAGAGAGAAGCCTACCAGGTGGTTAAGAGACACTTAGTACTGAGCCACTCCAAACAGTTGGCTTCTGGGCTGTTCCTCCCAGGAGCAAAATGACTGCTTGAATAAAAATGGATCTTCTGTCATCTTTCAATCAGAGGTAAGGTACAGTGCAAAAGCAATGAAGCAGACATTTCTGAGAACAATAACAGTATGAGCAAAACTTTTGCAGTCATCTAAGTGATGCTGGTCTTTTGTGTTATGCCTAAGAAATGCAATTATTGTTATTTACAATTGTGAAGATAGAGAATCTGAGATCGCAAGACAATGCTCCAACACTGCCCAACACACACACACACACACACACACACACTCAAAGACAAAAATCTTTTTAAAATTCTTACTCTAAAGCTACGGGGGAAAAAGGAGACAGGTCACTTCTCTCCAAGTGTCCCACCTTTCCCATTGTTAGACCAACGTGAGTGATAGTTCTACAAAAAAGCCCACTGGTGAGCCTGTGTTTTTCTTCTTAAGGCAAAAGTCACAGCTGGATCTCCGCTGAAGCTTACCTCCCATGTGAGTGCCAAGCGGCTCACAGCCACGTTACTCAGTCCCATGACGATGGCGAAAAAAGAATTCAGGTTTTTGTACTCCTTACAGCTGAAACACAGGAGGTGCGTGTTTGAGTAAAATGCTACTTTTATGAGATTTTTAAAAAAATTCCTGCTGGTCATTAATATTCCTCAGGATTCCTCCAAGTGAACAGCCAAGGAGAGATTTAATGCACATATAATTTCCGCTCGAGTAACCGTGTTCTGCTGTTTGATTTCTCACTGTCATTTTAGAAAGTTGATGGTTTTGGCCATCAAGATTGGGTTTTGACAAGTAATTTAAAGATACTCCCCCAGGGGTTGTTATTATAATCGCACATTTGCTAAAAGCTGTGTTAGACCTGGAGGGAACCATCCCACGGGACAGGAAGCCAGAAAGCAAAATGTCTTTGGGAACTTGCAGACCTTTACCCTAGAGGAGCATGCTCTCCTGACAGCCTGAGGGGAACTAAGGCCATCATGACGCTGCTGCCCTGGTTTCTACCTGCCATACAAATATTTTTGATCTGTTAAAAAATAGCAACTTAGAAGGCATGGTTCCATTGGGTTTCATAATCTCAAGAAGTTCAAAACTGAGAAATACTCTAAAACATGGGCAACAAAATAACCTAATTTTAACTGACACTGACAAAGCTGATCTTTCTTTTCTGTTTTTCTTTTATTTATTTATTTATTTATTTATTTTTTAGACACAGTCTACTTTGTAGTTCAGGCTGGCCTTGAACTCACTCTGGAGCCCAAGCTGGCCTTGAATTTGTGGTGATCCTCCCATCTCAGTCTTCCAAGTGTTGGGGTGCCCAGCCCAAAACTCATCATTTAAAATCTGCACTTATGCAATAATTAGCTTTTATAAACTCATACAAGAATGTAACATGTGGCTCAAGATCAGAATTTCTTAGCAGAATTCTGAAGTCTAGCCCAGGTAAGGAATCTCTAACTTCTTTATACTCGGTTCTTGAAAAATGAGAGAATTCCTTTGGTGATATGCATAACCTTTCACCCTAAATTAACCTAGGTATGTAGGTGGACTATACCATCACTAAATCCTGACTACACTTTTGTAAAAGGCTAATAAATGCTTGTATTTGCCACCAATGTTCTCCTTCAAAGGTTGTAATGAGGAATTCTTCTGTAGTCCATGTGGAAACAGGGAAATACAGTCCACAGAAGCTGTGTCTGGCCTGCCCGTGAGGAGGCAAGCAAGGCCTTCTGAGGGCTGGGACAATGACTCACAAGTCAGCTCAGAGGCTGAAAGGTACCTGGGAGACACCCAGGCTGCAGGCAGCAAAGGTGACCACACACCTGTTTTGGGTTTTTTTTTGGCCTTTCTCTTATGCATGTGCTATTGGAAAAATATGTTCAGGACTGTAGACCAGTGGTCACTGTTGTGACCAGCTAACTTTATCACTCAAGGGAAGTCACAAGATGTCTGTGTGCCTCAGTTTCCTTGAGTGCAAACAAAGGATAACAAACCAGTCCCCCCTTCATGAAGTTTTGCCCACAGGACAAGTTTGAAGAACGTATCTTAAAGTTGCCTGAGAACATCAAGTTAAACAGACGCCACTGCCACTAGGTTTCCATCGCATTATGACAGACCTCAGAGTAATGAAAGTCTGCAATCTCCTCCAGCTGGACTGCATGAGTAGCTCCATTCTAGGACAGCAAGCTCAGCATGGGGCTTAATAATGGTTAGATTGTATAAACCAATTTACACCAAAGGCAGGTGCACCTACTCACATAATCAGAAAGAACTAGAGTAACAAAGGCAAATTTTTTTTTAAAAAAAAACAGAGGTTTTCTAGAAGCTTGTCTATGGTGCCTCTGTAAAAATCACAGGAGTTGTCTGAAAAAGGTTTCTTGACTCCCTTCTTTCCTTGATGCATTCAGCATCCAGGCCAAGGTGAAGACAGAATGTGTTCCTTGTGTTGGAAAAACACACACTGTCATAGTTTCCATAATCCATGCATTCCAAACACTGAAGGCATTTGTTCATTGCAAGAGATTGTTCACACTTCTAGAAAAAGCAGGTGTCTCTATACCAGGGATGCATATGGAATGTTTGACCAGATACTGACTTTCTTCAAGTAGCCAGTTTTTCCCAAAAAAGAGATAGCAGAATTCGAATCCAAGGGATTTCCATCAAACCCTAACATTTTTGGCAAAATACCTCAGGGCATTTGGCATGCTGATAGCTATAAAACATCAAGCAGCCTTTATTTCTTTGTTTAGCCCTGGAAATCAAACTCCACAGGGGCTCTAAACTGGCTCAAGAAAATTGCCTGGCTGGGGTTACTTGTTCTCCCAGCCTTCCTGTGCTCCAGCTCCCTGCCTTTAGAAAGGAAAGGAGTCCCACAGCCACAGGCCAATTTTAGCCTTTTATTTTTAGCACTCTGGTGATACCAAAAACATGGAAGTAAACAGGAGGTTGTCAGGCATATATCTAAATAGCAGAAGAAGATTAAATTCATGTCAGGGAGAAATCTAACTGGCCCCTGCAGTAAATAAATTGTTTCCCATGAAGTGCTGTTAAATAGAATATGTATAAGATGCTTGCTTTTTCTGATATTTATGGAGATGATTTTCTTGTACCAGGTTAGCTCGCCTTTATGCATTTTACTGATTTATTCTGGCTGAGTTGGATGTGCTGTTGTTCCAGCATATTCTACTGCCCTCTACTGGTGAGAATGTGCTACGCTGGACGGAAGTCAACTTCCTGGGCCTGTTACACTCAACTCTGCCCAACACAACTTTGCTGAAAGATTAAACCAAGGGAAGCTAAAAATATTGAGTAGTTCTGAGCAAAAAAAAAAAGTCACGGTTTTGAATCTTGCATCAGTGCTGTAAGCTATTAATTTACATACTGATGTCAAATATAACAAAAGGTAGGAAAAAAAATCACCTTTTACAAGAATTCAGTGATTCATGAGCAGCTGTGGCTGGTTCTTGTGCCTAAGTGGTTTCTAATTCCTGCTTTTTTCAAAAAGGTGTAGTTTAAGAAAACAAAAGGAAAACACAGCTCAGGTTTTTCTCTTCCCATACTTACTGGGCTGCTATCTTAATAAATTTCTTTAGGAGCTGAACACGCTTGCTGAGCTGGGAACAAAGGCAGATCTCAGTGACAACCCAAAACTGAATTTCATTAAATCTCCTCAGGAACAAGTCCAAGTTTGCTGTGGTCTTTTTAAAATTATGCCTTCCAAATGTGTGATAGATTAGCTCCAGCTAGAACAGAAAGAGAAAAAGCAATTTCACTTATTTATGGGTTTTAAAATCAAAACATCAGCCTGGTAACAAATGTGAATTCAGTCTTTGACCTGGATATAACTTGTCCTACAGAGCTGAAGGGCTTCCAGGATGCTTGATAAATATATAAACACAAATGCAAACTAGAGGTTACTGGTTCACTATACTCAGTAAGAAAGAGCACTTGTAGCATAGCAAAGCACCATAAGGATGTTGGTTTAACACTCAAAGACTTTGTAAAAGGCTCTGTTAATCAATTCAATATGAAAAAAATCCTAGCACATGTTTCCCATATGGTGGCACACAGTGACATTCATGATTCAGCGGGGCCAGCGGGGTTCATTCACAATTGCTAATGTCCCTACTAACACACCTGCCTGGGAAGCTCACCTCGTGCACACAGTTGAAGAGTTCCCAATCATAAATCGTCATCTGGTATGCCAAGTCTTTGGAGCTCATCAGTTCAAAAGTCCCCACTGTTCCGACAGTTGGGCCTTCTTGTTCCGGTAAGGGAGTCTGCGGAAAATAATGCAAAAATACATCAGACTCTCACAGGAGACAAGTGCTGAGGGCTGAATCCTTTCAGGAGTTTCTGAAGGGATGTGATTCTGGAGACGCTTTCTGGAAAATCTTGAAGCTTTGATTTTACTCAGAAGAGAAAGATGCCTTTGCTTTTGAATGCCACTTGCTTTGCAGCTGCCTTTGTAGTTAACAGTATCTTTCTAGTCAACCCTGCCAAATGGAAAATGTGGACCACAGCAAATGAGAGTAGGCGAAGGGTGATCTGTAAACGTTCTCTTACTCCTGGCCCTGGGTGGTCCCTAGAAGGAGAGAAAAAGTCTCTACATTCTTTTTTTGCTAGAAAAGATGGACGGACAGTGAGCTGCTGGTTTTCATCTGCCTATCTGAGAAGACACTGACACAACTGCCAATTGTAGAGACAAACAGGAGGGGAACTTAAATGGGCATTTTGAAAATTATTGGGTATTTGAAATGAATACACGGCCTTAAGCATTTCTTGGAGAAAGAATTGGGTTCTAAAAGATTTAGCAGATAAACTGATGTAAAGAGCAAGCTTTTCCCTGAGCACCACGGATTGTGCTTTGGAGGTCGATGGATGGCAATGGAGGAGTAAGCGTGAGGAAGCTGTCTGTCAGGAGCAGGAGAGGACGGGGGCCCACAAACAACATTTAGAAAGTCTCTGTGTACTGGATTTGGCATCCCCTACCCTTTGTGCTGCTATACCCTCTGTGCCCAGCCCTGAGTGGCACTTCTCACCGATTACACACTGGGGTCCCGCACTACACTGAACTCCTTGAGGTCCACAGACCATGGATGGGTCTTTGAAACCATCCTGGAGTCAGAACTATCAACAGGGCCTGCAGTGATGCAGTAGGTACTAACTAAAAGTCTAGGAGAGCAGTGAATGGGTAAAAGCAGAGCCAAATCACAGTATAATGAGATTTTTTTTAATAAGCTGCTTTCTACTAACATTTCTGCTTAAATAAAATGTCAAGAGTAAAGCTCCAGAAGCCAAGCCCTTAACCATGAAGATAAATGCTGGTACTTGACTAATTTTAGACAGCACAATTTAACACTAAAACTTGTTCTCTTCCAGCCTGTCTGGGTTAGTTACCGCTCCTTCATTTAACTGCACGCTGTCATAGGGACAAGGGCCCTGGGGGCACTTGTCCTATTGGACACAGAAGCTAGTCCAGCCTTGAGGGCAAAGCAGACCTTGGTGAGAATGTGTTGACAGAATGATCAGAAGGTTTGGCCAACATTCTGTACTGCAGACTCATCCCCTGCATGACACTTTCTGCAAGGACTGTCCTCAAAGGGACACTTCAGCAAGCCAGAAGAGGAGCTATGGGTAAGGTTCAGCTCCCTGCAGCTCAGTGAAATGCGGCACATTTATTGGGGAGAAGCACGGCTGCAAAGTACTCAATTCCTTTCAACCACTGAGGCCTCAGAGTGGAAGATAAGCAAGGACTAAGCAGTTGGAAGGCCGCAAGGCTGTGTCAATAAACAGAGGCTTAGAAGGTTAGTATCTGCCCCACAGGGAGCTGGAGACAGTCCACACGCCTATCTAGCCACCACATCGCCAGACACCGTGGCCAAGAACCAGCTGGCAGCAGAGGCCCTTGTGCACTGTGGGTAAACATGTCACATGGCACCTTCAACAGGGCTTCAGCAACATGATTTTTTATGGTTTCCTTTCCACAAGAGGGGAGCATGACTCACGACACTGCCTCTTTGTCCCTTGATGTTGGGAGATATTTACTTAGCAAGCAATGAATGCAGAATACTGAAAAAAGAATACAACGCAAGGATTGCGAGCTAATTCCAACTTTACAGAGCTGGTGGCTAAGGAAGGGCTCAGGCTTAGATGGACAGGGATGAGCAAAGGCACTAAAGCAATGTGTGCAAGGGTCTTCTACCCCAGATTCATGGTATTGTAAAAAGGGCTGTCCTCAACCTGGGAATCAGGGTCCTGATTAGAGAAAACAAGCTCCAAAAAGCTGGACGAGGAAAATCTGTTTTTTTTTTTTCCTTTGCAACACTGGGGATCAAACCTATTTATGGCTTCAGGTGCTCCTCACTGAGGCACCCTTAGCCTGAGAGTTTTGAATTAACCTAGAAAACCTGATTTGACTAAACTTGAAACCTGCTTGGGCATCACTTAGGTAATTAAATTCTCTTCCCAAATTTAGTGCAATTTACCTCTAGCTCTTGTGTCATCCTTTCCTTAGAAGGGAAGCCCGAAGAGCCCAGAGATGGAGCAAACTAGTCTCTCTGCTCTCTGAATTGGTCCTATAGGCTAACATATGTTAATAACTACTCACTTCCATGCCTAAATTTTATACAATATACAGAGATAAGCATGCTGTTTATTTACAGAAAGCTCTGTGTGGATGGGGGCAAGCACTCTGAAGGCTTAGGGGAAGTTCTAGCCATGGCATTTCCCACCCAAGGGAATGACAGTGTTTTTAGGGAACATCGCTCTCAGGTGTGACAATGGCTTTGTCATATTCGTATCCACGTCCCACCAAGGGGACTGGTAAACAGTGATATCTTGCTTTTAAAAAAGATTATTTCCAGCCTGGCTTAATATTCACATTTTAAAATTTAAATATTAAATCTAATGTTTAAATTTAAATGTTTAAGTTGGGAACACTACAATAAGGCAAATTAAACAGAGTCCTGAAAGCTGGATCATGTCCCAGTAGTGCTGCTGCTTGCCTGATTTCTACACAAGAACCTAAAGCTGAGCGTGTCTCCAGCAAACACCTGAGGCTTTCCTAGCAGCCTGCAGGATAGAATAAACCAAGGTGCATTAGAGATGTTTAGCAAGTAAGTTTAATATGACTGGGGAATTAAGCTCCAGACAAGTTTTTCTGATTGCAGAAGCTGCTTTGAGGTGACCATCACACCTACCAGTGAATCGAATTGCTCTCTCGGGCAAGCAAACAGGCGTCCATTAATGGTGAGCGTCGTAAATACTGAAACATCATTAGGTTTGAGCACCACCTTTTCTGTGAACATAAAAAGCATGAGATTGCCTATTAAATACATCTGAGATTTGCTGCACTGCCCTAATCACAACAACAAATTGCCAGCTCGGTGAATTATCGGAACATGCAGAGCAACTGCATAAAGCAGGACCAGTGAGGACCAGAGGGACTCACTGAATAAAAACGACATCGCTCTCACGCAGCCACACAGCACTCAGGATGCCTCAGAAATGACCACACTACAGCCGTGGAAATACCTGAGGGTCAGATCACCAGTTCTGCACTGCAACAGTAATTACATATAAAGGCTGCATTGGTCACTTACATAATAACTTATGTTTCCAGTTAATAATGTGGCCCAGCCAAGCTGTCCTCCTGGTCAGCCAGGAAAGATCACACCCACTCCGTGCATGGTTTCTCTGGAGATGGAATGCCTCTTTGTGTAAAAGCAGCAATTCTAATTACAACTGTTACCTCCTCCGGAGCTCATTTTGACTATGATCAGGCCTTCCCCAGAGCCCAACTTGTCGGCCACTGCGCTGATGACTTCCTTCACGGAGGCAGCCACCGGCACCCGAATGGTGGTGTAGGTGTGGTCCATGCAATAGACCTTGAACAAAACTGTACACAGACTGTTAACAATATGGGACAGCGGCCTTGGGATTGCTTATGAAAGCTATAAGCTATGCAAAATGTTTAGGTAACCTCCCAAATTGACACCATCTTACTGCTCCTACTATTGCATTTATTTACATACGACTGCCTCCTTCTATAATGGTCTCAGAACAGGAGCATACACAGCTGCCATCTTCAATTTAAAAACCAACAGACATTTGTGAAAAACCCCAAACAGGTTGTGGGAAAAAATGAGAAGTAGTCTAGGCTGATGTTCTGTTTTTTTAAATTTTTTTTATCTGTAGTCATTCTTTCTTACAACACAGGGAGTGCCGCACTGTGGGCTGATTACTAGATTGCTGTCACCCAGCAAGGTACAGGGAGCCAACATTAACACCTCTGAAGCTGGACTGCTTCCACTGTGGTGTGAGCACATGCAAGTCCTGGTCACTTGCTTTACTGCTCTGGGGCTCGGCCGCATGGTTCGGGCGGAGTCAGCTCTGCAGATAGCAAATGGCACCCACAGGCTCACCTCTGACCAGACAAACCCTGGCAACAATTCCACTACTACAATTTTTGGGTTTTAAGGCACTCCTACATTACAATATTCATTTGTGGCTTGGAATGAAAACTTCTATTATTATGATAATCATCTGTGGTTGTGATTCTTTGGAGAAATACTAGGCAACCAAACAAAAACCAACCCCTTCACGCCCCTGAGGGCAGCTAAGGAGTTATGTCCAGGCCAGAGCATCTGCCCTGGGCTGCGGGGCTCTGTGGGTGGCCCCATGTTCCCACCTTCCTCCATGTGGTCCCACCTTCCTCCTCATAGCCACAAAGGCCAACCACTTTCGGACCAGCTCTGCCAGACCTTGACAGCCAGGCCCTGAGACAATCCACATTTTCTTCAATGGAAGGTGGCAGCCAGGAGCCAGCCAAGGGTGGACAAACACCTCAACTCTGAGTGCAAGAGTTCATAAATAACCAGCATGCAAAGGGCACCTCTAAGAACAGCTTTTCTGTGGGTTCAAAGCTATGATTCCCGGAGGGGAGATTTTAATCTGACTCTAAATATTCTACAGGAGCAAGACTCAGATGAAAATTCTCACCCTCATCAGAGCCTCGGATCGGCTGGCGCTTCTGGGCCCTCTCATCGCTCGTGTTGAATTGTTGCAAAAGAACCTTGTGCTGTCAAAATGATGACCACAGTGAGTGCGGTACAGGGACTGAGCAGCATGTGCTAGCCACTCAGAGAAAACAGCTCAGAAGCCATCTCAGTGCCAAGCCATAAAGCAAATTCATTTTCTATTTACAAAAAAGATATCACTTTTGTGTTATTTTATCACCATATAATATTCCTAGAGAACTGTAATTCTATGGGGCACACAAAACCCAAACTGATGCCATGTCCCTTACCTTCTTTTGAGGGGCCTTTGCATCTTCTGAGCTACGAGAAGTAGAGAAAGCACATCACTTAATACCACTGCTAAAAGCGCATCCCAGTTCTATAGATTGCTTTATTGGCACATCACTTTAACTTTATGTTAGGAAACAAAATCACAGAACCCCTTTGGGAAGCAGTATGAGCCTCCCTCACTGAGAGACCAAAGCCTGGGCAGACTGCACAGACACCAGCTCTTGGCACACGTGGATCCTGGGCAGAGCTGACGCTACACACCAGGATTGCTAGGTTTCAAAGTCTCTCTCATAGTGTGCTCACTCTCCAGGATTTAATCTGTAACAGCATGTGAAAACCTGTTTTCCCTGAGAGGAAACAAGTATTTGCCTTCTACAGTCTTGGTGGTAGAAAGTGAATCTTCCATATAAGCAATGGGCCTCGAACTTCCTTGAAATGCCACTGACTATTTTATTGCTGGCTTTAGGACTTTGAATCTAGGGCAGTCACAGTTATTGAGCTGAACTTCCCAAAGGGGGATCTCTGCCTCCCCAGACTTTCTCTTGGCAGTCCTCCAGCCCTCAAGGCAGCCAAACAGCGGCCCCGGTTCTATTCATCTGGCTTGTGGGCACCTATGCCCAGGGCCTGTCTGCTTAAATCACAGCTCTGCAGGGCCACGGAAAGACCAGCTTGAAGTCTTTCTTTCTCTTCTCTTTCCCTTCTTTTTTCCTCTTCTTTCCTTCCTCCCTGCTTCCCTCCTTCCCCCCACCCTCTCTTTCCAGGTAAAGGACTTCTTGCAAGATGTTTCTTTTCAGAGGTGGGCACTTACTGGATCCCTCAACCCCGTAGTTAAGCCCTTCCTTACATTTGCTTGACGATCCTCTCCAGTTCTGGCAGTTGCTCCTTGAGGGCAGCAATCATCCGGGCATCATCTGATACAGACACATAAAACTCCTGTAATTGGCAAAGGTCACAGGCTTTTAGCAAGAACTGCAAAGGGCGCATGATTCTTCAGAGAGCAGTAAAGACATGTTCACACATCATCTGCTTCACTAGCATCACTAGACCATGGTTTCATGGACAGGACAGAGAGAAAAACAAGAATAAAGTGTTAACAATATATCTAAATGCAAAACTGCAAATGAGAAAAAGTTTTAGAAACGGTGGTGATGATTGTACATTATAATGAAATGATTGTGACTAAACTGTATACTTACAAAATGGCTAAAATGGCAAATTTCATGTGAGATATATTTTACCATAGTAAAAATTAAAATTAAAAAACTGCAAATGAATTAGTTTCATGATATTTGCATGAAACACAATCTAATGTGATGTTCTGGAGTAGATCATCTCACAGTCTACACTTTCAGAGCGTTTTTCTATCTCAGACTTTTTTCAGGGAAATTTTAATTTTTTTTTTAGCTAGGGTCTCACTTTGTAGTTCAGGCTGATTTGAACTCACAGTGTAGCCCAGGCTGGCCTTGAACTCATGGTAACTCTCCTGCCTCAGCCTCCTGAGTACTGGGGTTATAAATGTATACCACTTTGCCAGGCTTATACATTCATTTTTAAAGTTATTTTAGTATTTTGTATTGGTTCAATATTTATCATCAGTATGGCTAATCACAGGCAGGGATTTCAATATGATGCTCAAGACTGCTGAGTTCTTGGGAGCCGTGCTGACCAGAGAGCAGCACCGCCCTCAGCACTGGTTCGGTTCACCTGAAGAATGGCTCTGGATTGGATGGGGACAGGTTAGCGTAGGATCCCAAGCTGCTATATTCCTTACGTTTTCAGAGTACTTCATTCTACATCCTTGAGGAATGCCTACGGCCCATCTTTCCCCTGCCTCCCCCAAAAGGACACAGTGAAGCAGGAGAGAGGGAACACATTCTTTTGGTGAACTGATTTCTGTGGCTCGTAAGTTTGAAACAAGCCACATGTCTCTCACCTATACGGAAGCAAGGATATCACTAAATAGGAGAGAGTAAACATAGCTGACCCCACCCCCTCATCTCCGGTCTTGGTTTCCAGGGTTTGGGTTATCTGCCATTACATTTTAAATGGAAATGTCCAGAAATAAACAATGTTCAAATTTTAAATAATTTTTACTAAGCATGAAGTTAAAATTATTTTATTATTAGCTATTGTTTACCTTTTATTATGCTAATTTATAAAGTTTACTGTAGAAAAATGCAAGGTGCATATGGGAAAAGCACAGCAGACACAAGGTTCTTACTAGCTACAGTTTCAGGGCTCCTCTGGAAGTCTTACAAGGCATCCCCTACAGATAACAGGGGACTACTGCATGTTAGGGATAAATGCCAAGGTCAGTGCTATAATGTGGGGCTAGAGCCAGGGGACAGAAGAGGGAAACTGAGCTAGAAATAGTGTATAGAAATAGTGTCAGAATGACCATATGGCCCCTGACTTCTTGGGCTAGTAATTCTTCAGTGAAATGATGAGCTTTCCTGTGCTCAAAAACATTTACCACTTAACCTAAGAATCCCACTGCCAGGAAGGAAACCAAGGACAGATTTACTCACACAAAAATGTTCACTGCACAATTATCCTAGGAAGGTGCAAACTGGATGTGACGTAAATATCCAAGACCGTGGGTACAAATGTCTGTGACATTAGCTACTGAATGGTCATTAATACTTTTATTATAAAAACTATACTGAATGGAGAAGTTCTTATATAAAGTTAAATGGAAAAGGCAGCCTGCAAAATGATGGGTACTAATGTAATTACAGCTAGATAAACCATACAAAGAAAAAGAGACCAGATGAATATACATGAAAATGCTACCACTTACTGAACTAGAGAATAATGGCTGATGCCTCTCCTTTCGTACAGTACCTTTCTAATGAATGAACATGCTAACAGAGTCTAGAAGTAACTATTATGGTCTCCCTGGGGAAGCTGTTGTGTCTATGCATAGGTTCCTATGTCATAGGCTCAAGGTGCATTTTCAGAAAAAATGTTCCCCACGTACCTCCAGGAAAGCCATGGCCACGTCATCTTCTTGGAGGAGGTCCCCATATGTGGAAGCCCACTGAAGAACCAGGCGGATGACTCGTCTCTTATTGTTGAGGGCATAATCCAATTTTTCCTGCTCTGTACCTTGGGAAGGCTGGGCGTGGTAAGTGCCGAGGAGTCAAGGAAGATGCTCACCGATTTCCTACATATTGCACTATGTTACTTACAAAGGCAGAGTAACACCTGCAGCTTCAGAATGATGGAATTCCTCCCTTACACCATCAAGAAAAACCTTACACAGAGCGTCTGTACCAAACGCACAGAATCCTTGTTAGTTCCTGCTGACTTTGATCCGAAAGTTCAAGGAATTAGATTTCACACGGACATATGTGTTGATGGGAATTCTTGGGGTGTCTAGCTCCCACTCTCATTTTTTTTTTTTTTTTTTTTTGGCCTATATTCTTCCTTGCCTATCACCTGCTGGGGTAGTGATGTCACCTTGTGTGGCTCATCTCTGGGTGCCGTGCCATTTCTTTCTGGTTCTTAAAATTCTTCCCACATCTCTATAATCGCTCTCATTATATACATTTCAGTTAAGCCTTTCTAGGTGAGCATCTAATTCTGCCAGGACTCTGGCTCATACAGAGTATATATGTGGGCAAGGAAAGCTGGAGGTAGGAAAATCTACTCTGTGTTAGAAAGACAAAACCAGTTGTCTGGTGAGGACTTCAGACACTCTTTACATCACATCTTTTCTCTTGCCTAAAACCACAACCTATTCTATTATCAATTTGTGCATTTATGGCTAGCTAAGCCACCTTGTGAATCACATGAGGTTTGATATGGAATACTAATTTTTCTTGTATTACATATCATGTGCAATGACATTCACCTAGAAATCTATTAACAGAACGAATACTTAGTTGAATGCCTATGAGGTACCAAGAGTAAAGTTTCTTGCAGTCCTGTATGGATTACAGTACGAAGAACACAATAGGTCATCAAGAAGTATTTGAGTTTAGACATACCATTCCATTTAAGGTGATTTACAAGTAGTTTGTATTGTACAAAACTAGTTCATAAAACAACTTAGCATTTACAACTTACAGTGTGGCTTGCACACAAAGTTCTCCAGTTCGGCTCTATTTTAGTGTTTTGTGATGAAGGTGGCATTTCCTTTTCAAACCAACACAAAAGGAGCATAGAAGGCTGGCATGACATTTCAAAGTGGTTCTGAGTCTGAGGCTCCTGATACTAACTAGTTTCGTTCCCATTTCACAACCCTCCTGAGCTGCAAGACCAGCCACGTCTTAGCTCACTGCCATGACTTAAAAGGCACTGTAGAAAACTGCCTTATGGCAGTGCTGCGCTCGAGAGTAAACCAGCAAAGGGCCTTTTCTGAAAGAACTATAAATAATCATGATCAAGGTAAATGACAGAGCTTAAAGCAAAGGTTTACTGCATGTAAATGGGTTGCAAAATGGCTTTCATAAATTGAGCACGAGATTCATAAAAAAGAAAATTGCTCAACCTGTATTGCTACAATTCTCTCTGAGCTTACAATAAAAAAGGAAGAAAGATCATTTTATGTGAAAATTATTTCTTTTCTGATTAACCCTTTGGTCTCTTGCTTATATGCATCCATAACTCAGTTTTATCTCTAAAGCATTACGATGCTGGATACAACATTTTATGGCTGTTTTTTTTTCATGGCAGGTACTACCGCTGTCAGGCACATAGTGGGTGCCAATGAAGTGATTCCTGATAGATTTAAATACAAGTAATGTATCCACTCGCCAGAGGGTCGGGGTCTGTGCCCTTTTGCTGCTGCCTTGCACAGGGTCTTAAATGAATTATTTAACAATGTAAATTGCCATTTACTCACTGTGAGAAAATTTCCACACTCAACTGTCACATTTAGTAACATGAAAGCAAACAATCTAAAGAGAACTGGGTACCATTAACAATGAAAATATGGCAGTTTTCCACATTGTTTTCTTTTCATTTAATTTTGTGGTAATTTTTATTTGTATGGTTCTATGGTTTGAAGATGGTTTGTCCCCACCAAAACTCATATTGAGACTTAATTCCTCAATGCAGCTATGTTGGAAGGGTGAGCGGTTAAGAGAGATGAATATCTTTCTTGTGATACTGTGTTAGTTCTCTTAGGAATGGGTTAGCTCCACTAGAGTGGGTAGCTGCATGACAGGCTGGCCTCTTTGTCCATTCCCTGTCTTTGCACAGACTCACTTTCCCGTCCACTTTTCTGCTAGGCATGGAGCAGCATCAGCCCCTCACTGGAAGATGAGCAGATGAGGCCTCCCAGTTTTGGACTCGTTAGCCTCCAGAATTGTGAGCTAAATAAACTTCTTTGCTTTGTAAGTGACCCCAGTCTTCGATGTTCCATCACAGCAACAGAAAATGGACTAAGATATGTAAAAGCTTGGATTCTATCAGGCTTTGGCTGGTATTGTCTTTTTCATTTCTGTGGCACAAGAATAAAAAGGACAAAGTAAGAAAGGTTAAGATGGGGGAAAGACAAACTAATTAATCAGGAGCAGAAAGACTCTGAAGTCTGAGCGGAATATGTTTTAAAGCCAAGCTCGCTCGGAGCTCACTCCGTCAGCTGCTATCCTGAATACTTTAATGGTAGGATGGGTCAATATTCCTTACCCTGAGCCTCAATCTAGGTTTCCTCTGTCTATTCTTTTTCTTAGATCTAAGTAGTAATGTCTATGAAAGATATCTTTCTGATGAGCCTTTACTGTCAAAAATGTGCAAACACAATTTGTCTTATTACTTTTAAAAGAACACTCTGTGCCCTCAGTTACACATAAAATAGGATCTTAAAAATATTTCACTACACATGCAGCATGAGTCTGAATCAATCATATACAGCAACACCAAACAAAGGAAATGGAAGCTTTTATGGAGCTAGTGTACAGAGTGGGAGTTCTCAGCCTAAATTTAGAAAAATAACCTCAAGATGGGACAATCAATGTGCTAAAGAAGTAAATTTTCTTTCAAATAAATTTATATATTTTTTGAAAAAAAGAATGTTTTACTTGGACAAAGAAGTCATTCAAATGGAATCATAATTAATAAGTAAGAGACTACTTTGACAAAGGCACAGAACTAAGCATGAGTGATACAATGGGACACGGTTCCTAGCTACCCTTAACATTGCACTGAAGAGTACAGCTGTGTGCCTGAAACAGGCAAGAGGAGGGAGGTGAGACAGAGAGAGAGAGAGAGAGGGAGAGAGAGAGAGAGAGAGAGAGAGAGAGAGAGAAAGAGAGAGAAAGACAGTGACAGAATGGGAGAGAGAGAGTCTTTTTTGGTTGTATGAGGCTGAAAGATTTGAAACATTAGGTCAGTATCAAATAGATATAATTCTAATTTTCCAGGTTATCTTGATGTGAACTCAAGAAAGCAATGCAAATATTTAACTGCTGGATACAGAAATAGCAGCAGCACACCTGTGGCTAGTCTGCAGGGTCACAGAATAATTAAATCTACGTTGTTTTTAGGGGTTTGGACAGATTTTTTTCTGTCCTTTTTTTTTTTCCATAGATATTTGTCTTTTGTTGATAATAAAAGACAAATTAGTAGGATAATGCTTCAAGTGTGAATAGAGCTTATTAAATACCTTCAGTGTGCTCATAGGACTATATAATGCTCTCCACACACCGAAAGTGGAAATATTTGCAGATGAGGGCCTGGGGATTTAGCTCAGCGGCATAAGCGCCTGCCTTGCAAGCAGGCAGTCGTGAGTTCAATCCCTGGTACCGATGAAAAGGAAAAAGACAAAAAAAAAAAAAAAGAAATATTTGCAGATGAGAAAACTGAGGTTCAGAAAGAAGCGATCTGTCTAAGGCTGTTAACTGAGTAAATAGTAAAGCTCAGAAATCTAAACAGCTCTCTTTCTTCTACGGTCACATCCACCATCCCACATATTGGTGACAGTGCCTAGAGATTAGCACTTGGTTTCAGAATATTGCTAAGAATAACTACATTTGGGAAGCAAAAATTCTAATGGAAAAGAAATTCTTTCTCCTCTCCTCTCCTCTTCCTTTTTCCCTCCCTCTCCCCCTCCTTCCTTCCTTTCTTCTGAACGTCAGGTTTCCTAGTGCTGATCCAGCAAACAGTGTTTCCACGACAGTGTTGAGTGCCCCGTCCCCAATAAGTGACCCCACAGCCTCCTGGGAAACAGGAATGGCCAGTGCCAGAGACTAGGAGGGGCTTTTTCCTTTTTCTCATGGATTTTTGCCTCTGGGAAAATAAACAGAAGAACTGATTTACTCTGCAAAGTCTTGCCTTTCTCCTCACAGATGTTTATTTACTAAACTAGGTGGAGGCAGTCCTATTTTTATAGCTGACTCAGCATGTGCTCAATGCTTCTGCCTTTCCACAGGCAACGCACTGTTCTTTTCTTAAACAGTCTGTTGAATCAGATCCTTAAGGACCTGGAGAAGACTTTATGAGTAATTTAGTGTGCCTGCAAAGGGTCCAGGCTGGTCCTGAGCCTCCTATTCCCACAACAACCTCCCTAGGCATTTAGATCTATGGGTAAAGCTTTACCAGAGAACCTACAATTATGAACTGACTCAGGATTTTAAGTACAATTAAATTAGAATTCTAAATATAATTGTATTTTAAATATAATTTAAAGCTCATAATAGTTAAAGTCACCAAACTCATCACAGATCACAGAGCTGGATTCAGGTGAATCAGAGAATCATGAGGGCTGGGTTTCAAGAGTTCCATGATAGTATTTCCTTCAACGAGGTTAGGTGATTTTTTCCAAATCTATCAATGGAACTCTTAAGAAGAGAAACCAGGTTTTCATGATTTTCTTCCTGTTTATACATTTGTGTTTTGTCTATCATTAATGTTGTAGCAGAGATTGCCGCCCAGCCAGTCTGCCATTACTCAGGTAACAAATCCTGTTACTTCTGTCTCCTAGAAATGTCTGGTCACTGTGATGCATAACTGGTTATTAAGATGCATAACAAGAACCAATCAAAGATAGCCCAGTACTCTGCCTCTGTACTCCCCTTTTTGCAACCAACCCAATAAAAACTTCCCTCCCAAAGCTTTAGGGCCTGACATTTTGAGGAACAACTGATTCCAAGTCAGTGCCCCTCTGAAATGAAGTAAATCTGCC